CATAGGCTTCAGCAATGTCCTCTCCTATGAATGACACTTCTTCGTTAGGAAAATACATTTTTTATGGTTCGTAGTCTCCTCCCACTGGATTTTCAGCAAGATGGTCTGTCAATGCTTGTCCTTTGACTGTCTTCTGAGTTACATAGATGATGTCGAACTCACTTAACAATATTTGCCACTTGGCTAACTTCCCGGTTGGCATGGGCTTTTGAAAGATGTACTTCAGAGGGTCCATTCTAGATATGAGGTATGTGGTATAGACACAGAAGTAATGCCTCAATTTCTGAGATGTCCATGTCAAAGCACAGCAAGTGCGTTCTAGCAGAGAATACCATGCTTCGTAAGGTGTGAACTTCTTACTCAAGTAATATATGGCTTGCTCCTCTCTTCCTGTCTCCTCATGTTGTCCCAAAACACATCCGAAAGCCCCATGTAGTACGGACAGATAGAGTAGCAAAGGTCTCCCAGGTTCTGGCGGAACTAGGACTCGCGGTGTAGACAAGTATTCCTTGATTTTGTCAAAGGCCTTCTGACAATCCTCGGTCAAACTTGTGTTGATACCCAATTTTTTCCTATGTATTTATATATACTCAAAATATTCTCAAAATAGTATGTACATGCGTATATAAGCATGCCCAAGAGTTTTGGTATTTTCCCTTACTTTTTAAAGATCTTAAAATCAATTTGTTGTCTATTTTAATAGTACCAAAATTCAGTAATTATTCCCAAACTAGCATTTTTGGTGAATAATTTATTTCATTCTCATATTTATACTAAGATATAATTAAAGTAATTTTTGCGTATTTTTTATACATTTGTTTGGTATTTTTTTAGCTAAATTGCATACAATTGCAATTATGGCCTATTTTACAATTAATAGCATTTCATAATCATAAAATCACTTTTAGTATTTATATGTTATTGATTAGTTCAGTACCTGTAATTTATTTTTAAATCATTTCTTACTATTTTTATAAAATAATAAAAGGGGAAAATTGGCTATTTAACAAACAGCCCTTATTATTTCAATTATAGCCAATTTAGCCCCATCCCCATCAGATTTTTAAATTAAACCCAAATGGCCCAATAACCCGCTTAAACCAGCCCGACCCAAGCCCCCTTTTATCTGAACCGTTGATCTTTAAGATCAACGGCCTCAATTCGCCCTTCCTTAATTAAACCTAATGATTAACCCTAATTCCCTCATTTTCATTTTAGTAGCCGCCCCTGAACACCCTCTCCCTCTCAAACTCACTCGAGTGTTCTTGAAACCCTAATCACCTTCCCCCCATTTTCGATCTCTAACACACCAGAACCCATGGCCTCTCAGGCCATGGATGATCTATGCTCACCTCCTATCGCTCCTATGTGCTTGGTACTCGAAGGTTCGAGGCTAGATCTCAAAGGTCTCCACCTAGATCTCCGCCGACTTGAGGTTCTCGGCCATCTCCGGCCTGGCTCCGGCACATCTTAGCCTCCTGAGCCTGTTTCCAGTCTCATCCGACTTAGATCGGACATTTTCAAAGCCTTTCTCATTCTAGGGTTCATCTGAAAACCCTAACTATCGAGGTTCTTCTCCGGTTATCTCCAGATCTGTGTGTATTCATTCTTTATCTTGAGTTTTCAAGTGGTTTCCCCAATTTTTCTTTTCAAAATCTTACTTTCAAAGTCGCCTCTTTTCTGGTTTAGGGCTTTCCGAAGATGCTTCAGTGTTTTCCGACTTTTCTTCTTCCTTTCTTATGTGTGTTTTATATTCTTATGTGTTTTCATATATACATGTTCTTCTACCATGTTTTCTGTATTTTGTTCTTCTCTCTACTATGTTTTCACATGCTATGTTTATATGCCATGTTTCTATGCTATGTCTCACATGCTATGTTCTGCTATTGCCTTCAACTATGACTTGATATGATTCGTCTACTGCATTTTTCAACCATGTTCATTAAGTGTGCCTACTATGCCTGCTTAAGCGTATTTGCCTCTACTGTCTCTTCTACTCTCATTGTGTTTCAAATTAATTCCCTTACTCTATTTTACATTAAACTTTCTACTGTATCTGTTTGTTTCTCTTCTTTGCATTTGGTTCAAGTTGAAAACCCTAGGATTTGGGGTTTTTTGACGAGTGTGGTCTTGTATGTTTGGACTAGGGCTCCATTTGAGCCCTGGACTCTCTCAAATTCACTTTGGATCCATATAATAAGTTTGAATTCTTTTGTGTATGAACTCTTCTGATTAGCATGACAACCCCTTTTATATGTGTTAAAATCTTTCTTCAAAAGGTTTTCTGATTTGTGTTTGAATCAGAATCCTTTCTTTTTGGGGTTAATTGATTGCTACTGATTCTTCTTAAGTGAAGCCTCCCTTCACCTTTTTCTGACTTGGTTCATTCACATAAAATTTTCGACCCTTGATTGCTTGGCTGTCAACTGATTTCCTTTCCTTAATTTGCATGACCGTGTACTGTCAAAAGCCTTTCCTTAAATAACTATTATGTATTTACCCTTCTTTCATTAGTTTGAAAAGTGTTTAATTAACTCCTTTCCTTATTTACCTTGCCCGTTTGAAATCAGAATCCCTTAATTGAAGGGAAACCTTGCGTGATTGATTTTCAAACTATTTTCTTACCTATTTCTGCTTCTCTTCTGCATTATAAATACATGACACAATTTTTTAAACACAGACACGATTTTTAATCATCACAACTCTCTTCTAAAAGCTTACACTCTTGCTTCTTGATTGCAACTTCGCTTCCCTGAGTCTACTGCTTCTCCCTACTTGCTTGTTTCTGAAAACTGGTATGCCCTTTCAATTAAACTTTTGCCCCATCCCTATATGTTTATTCTATATTTTCATTCTTCTGTGTGGTTTGCTGTTCATGCTTCGTAGCTTATGCTGAGTATTTTTCTTTCTTTGCTTCTGCTTTCATACGAATCCCTACCCCTAACCCCCTTTATGTGTTGAGTTGAAACCTTGGCCTGACAGCATCCCAATTACTGCCCAGGCCATGGTTTGACCTTCAATAGGTCCTGGACTCTCCAATGTTTGGCTAGTGGGCTGGTCAGGGGTGTGCCAGCATTTTATGTTGCTGGGCATGACCACCAGCCTACCTTGGCATCCCTTATATCCCTCTATTGCACTTACACTTGTTCCTAGACTCTAAGTTCTTGCCCCCTCCAATGAGCCTTGCCTTGGGACCTTGAGCTCCCTCTGAACTTGGACATTGGAGGGATGGCCCTCCACACTGCACTTTAACTCAGTTCTGTAATGATATCTGGGTGTGAGCATTGCCTGGAGTTCTTGAAACTCCTTGGAACTTTGACACATCCCCGGATAAGAGAAAGGCTTTGGAACCTGATCCTGGCAGTTGGCTCATATCATATTGTTAGACCTTGGGTTTGAATTAGGCTCCTTGGATGCAGCTTAAGAGTTCTGATTGTAATTTTATTTCCCGTTTTCGATTCATCTTGGTCTGTAATAAAACTTTGTAATAACCTCTGGGGTGATTAGTGAAAAGGGAAGGGTAACCATGCATGCAAAGGGGTAGATATCATGCTCATAGGGAATTACCACACTTCTGTACTCATGTATCTTGCCTACAGCTTTGCACATTTGCATATCACATGTAGATATCATGTCTATAAGGTTTCTGCACTTCTCCACATAGATATCATGTCTATAAGGTTTCTGCACTTCTCCACATAGATATCACGTCTATAGGGTTTCTGCACTTCTGCACATATAGATACCATGTCTATAGGAATTTTGCATCTCCATATGGATACCACGCCTATAAGTAACCAGAAATCCAGACTCTACGCATGCATTGTTCACTAGGCAAACTGTTTATAGGATTAAAAACTAACAGTATTCAGATACCATGCCTATAGGATTTCTGCGCTCTTGCTATGCTTGTAAAAAGTGTTTAAATTAACGACGCTAGAAAGCATGCCTATAGGAACTATCTATCTGAATCACTCGTTTTAAGATTAGCACTAATTACAGAAGTCGCACCATTCTGTTAAAACTGGCAACTTTCTTAATCAGTTTGTTTCTTTATTCCTGAAACCAGTAGATGCCATGCCTATAGGTCATCACGTAGGCAAACAAGTATGTAGTTAATTAATTGCACTGGTCTTCGATAAGTTGCAGCCAGGCGAGCCTAATGCGAACTTCTTGCCTGAAAATACGTAATGAACTAGCCTGCCTAACGTTAAGCATAATTTCGACCTAATCATACATGTAAGACATGCTAAACTACATGATTTTCTGTGATTAAAGGAGGTTTATCTGAGCCTTAATTGTTTTGTGCTCCCATAACTGCTTTCATGTGTTTTGCTTGACGCCTTAGTATTTTAACCTTTTTAAACCTCTGAAAAGCCAAGCTTCCTCCCTTTAGGATTAGTAGTCCTAAAAGCCTCCAGGATTGATAGGTGGGACGGGTAATAGCATGCAATAAGTAAACGAGACTATTTCGCGCTTAATACCTTAACGGGGTGGGAAAGGTAGACATGGAGATGATGATCACACGATAACACTACGCGTACGATTGATTACCGGTGTTGTGTGGATGATCCATGTGATTTATAAACCTAGGACCCCTTTCCTTATACAACTTTGTTTAATATCAATAAAATCCTGTCTTTTCAACTACTCAAAACTCCTCTTTAATTTTACTGCATTATTCCTTTTCTTCCAAATTTTTCTTCTTTGTTTATTCAATGTATTGATTAATTTTCTGCGTTTAGTCCCCCCTTTAAACAAGTTGTAGATCATCTGGACCTTGATCTCACATACTTGTCACGTATCTATTTGTAACCCTTATGTGTAAGATCATTTGTGTATCTATTTGCATTAAAGTCACAACATAGCATGGCCGGGAACCACACTAGTGGATCTTGAGGGGTGCCTAACACCTTCCCCTTGAGATAATTTCTAGCCCTTACCCGAACTCTGGTTTTCCAACTCAAAAACCCTTAGTGTCCTAATTCACTNAATATTGAGTTTCACTGTTGGATTTGATTTAGTAAGCTCATCTGCTAGTAACTTTTCCAAATCCAAACCCCCGATTTCCAACCTTCTTGATGCTATGTGCTGAACAACACCCTCGATGACAGGTGCAATTTTTGTACCTGGGGACACAGCGAAGGTACAAAAGGGTGTTAATACGAGCGAAAAATAGGAGTTTGGAACTTGGTGACAACAAGGAATTCACCTACAAAAAAGTTGACTTCACCAAAAAAAAGAACCAAAATGCTCGACCAAATGCCTTCGCGTCACTTGCAACTGAGGACGAGGGTGTTGGAACATCCGTGTATGAAGTTCCATCACAATCAATGGAGTCATGTGGGGATTACGGAGGTGAATTAGGGCAACTAATGTTTTCCACGAGCAGCAGCAACACAAACAAAGCGCACTGTTTCAGCTGTTAATGATCGAGCAACAACAGCTTTTAAATCTGGGCAGCAGCAAATTGAGGAAACTAATCTTGACAACTCTAGCAAACCGATCAAATAGATTCACTGGGTAGAAGCTAATTTAGACTAATTCATTAAAATTAGTATCAGAAGTTAAATTGACTTTTCTTGAACACTAGAAAATCTAACAACTAATAAAGTGCTCAAAATTCTAATTTCACCTGAAAACAATCATCCGCACAAATACTACTGCATCCAATCCCCCAGTAGCACATATTTCTTCATCAGAAGTCTCCCGTGCCTTAAGGATCCAACTTGGATAAGGAACAAATCTATCAAAGCGAAAGGCATCCTGTTGTCTTTCTCGTACTTGAGCAATCTTCGCGCCAAAGTAAACATTTACAAACCTCGGTTGTTTCCTTAAAACCGAATACAAGGAGAACAGCACTACGCACACTGCAGTATTGACACCAGCAGAAGTCAACAGAGCAGCTAGCTTCATCTCCGCCCCCAAATATTCTCACAACCTCACTAATTAAGACATGTCATCAGTGCTTCCTTCATTTAAAGATTGGAAAGATCTGGAAACAACAATTTTGGTGTATTAAGGTCAAGAAACTGCAAAAGTGAAAATCATAGTGAAGAATTCATTTGATACAGTGAAAAACTAAAGCAGTTTTCAGTCAACTAATTATCTGGTGATAACCAGCTAATAAATTGTACAATACAACCAAAAAAGAAGAATACAAAAAAGATAACAAATGAAACACTGATACTATAAACAAGCAAAATAAGAAGTTACAAAGGAAAAGCTTTAGCCTTGCAAGCATGCTCATTTCAAATATCTCCTAGCATACTGAAGTCTACTAAAGTTCATTTAATCCAGTGACTGCGCGAGCCTATGTAACATGCACAACCCGCTGAGTAAATCCAATTATAACCAAAATTAAGTTACCGATATCTTGGTGAGATTAGACCGGGCACGTTACTTGCTTAATTGATCAAGGTAGGTGTAACAAATCTCAGGAAAGGGTCATTGACTTCTTCTAGCTTTGTATTAGGTAAACAAAATACTAAGTGGATAGAACAAACAGAATGAGTAATTCAAGGAAAGGAAATTACCTAAAAATATTATGTTGCTATTTCTAATCTAGATTGAGTTCAATTCTCAACATTGTTACTTGCACTTTTAACAGGGCGACCTAGCTAAAAGCTTTTAGTGTAGGTACATCTGCCAACCATTGAAGAGAAAAGATAATAAGCAAACCTAGAGATACTGCTAGCTCATGCCTTGATTGGATAATGTAAACATGCGCAAGTTCAGTAGGAAACAAAAGATATGATTAGGGTTATAGATATATCATGTCACGTGGCTTATTAGACCACACATTCACCCACAATCCATGGCAATGTTCATATTGATCAAGTGACTCCATGGTAACTCTACTCTGCAACTATGGCAATTTAAAAAGGCAATTTGATAACACCGGGCTAACTGAACTTCAAAGGATGGGTATTGGACTAGTCATAACAGCAATGACTATGCTTTCAGATATTAATTTATACAGAATAAAGAAAACATAATCAATAATGTAGCATGGTTGGATCACAAATTTGATATTATACCTCAAAATGTAGCACAGCTGAGCCAGAAGAGGATGTTGGAGAAGGATCGAGCCTCAACAACCGAACAAAAGGATCCCAAATCTCTCATAATTTCTTCAACGACCACCAAACCCTACCCCCTCCTCCCCAATATTTTCCTACAAAACAAAAACTAAAAATAAACACCTAAAATTTAGTAAAAAATAAACTGATACACAAAGCTAATAAGACCATAAAAATCTAATTTTGCTCCTTCAAAAATAACCCCAGAAAATAAGTAATACAACAAAGTCTAACCCCCCCCCCCCCGGGGGGGCTTCCTTTTCCTCTTTTCTTGAATAATATTACAGTCAAAGCAAGAAATCAAATACATTGCTCACATCCTAAGTATTAAAGAAGAAATTAACCAAATTAGAAAAGAAAAACTTGCACCTGAAGTTAGTTTCTCACATAGTGCCTTTTGGGTCGAAACTTTCTCGCGATTGAAGTAGTTTTCTCACCTTTAATCGTGTCTTTTAGATTTTTCCTTTGTTCTCTTTGATGCCTTCTCTTCTTCGAATAACAAAAAATGATCGACACTTAGATTTGGGGATATTGGGTTAGGCCAACGATTTGATTTGGGGATATGGGGATTTAGAGTTAGTCATAGATGGAATTCTCAAGGTGAAAGGTATTGAGAGCTTTGGAGGTGTCGATGCCTTTGAGTTCTATGGGGAGATGAAAGGGTTTATTGGAAGATAGGCTTGGAAATGTCGATAGTGAAATGTTTTTGTTATTTAATTTACATTAATTAACAAAATTTATCAGAAATAAGATAGATAGGGATAGTCTTGGCGGGTTTAGAAAAATTCATGGGAGGGAAAAAAACCCGTTCCAGTAGAATTTTTTATTAAAATCCGTTCCCGTAAACAAATTTATTGGTATGGTTCACAAAACTGGTAGGCAAAAAAAAAACCTATGGCAACGGTTATTTTGTAATAAGAACGGTTTAATAGCTAAAGTGTGCTGATATCGTTCCAATGCTACTGTACAGTTGCAACCGTTCCAATATCCACTCTATGGCAACGTTTTTTTAACCGTTGCAAAAAAAACTGTTGCCATAGGCCCATTTTCTAGTAGTGGATTTAAGAAAGTTCTTCAACAGATTGAGAAGGTACAACTTGAAACTGAATCCCGCCAAGTGTACATTCGGGGTTCCAGCCGGAAAACTGCTTGGGTTCATCGTATGTCGACGAGGAATAGAACTGGATCCGTCAAAGGTTAAAGTCATTCAAGAATTACCACCTCCAAAGAACAAGAAAGAGGTTATGAGTTTCCTGGGGAGACTCAACTATATCAGCCGGTTCATAGCTCAGTCCACTGTCATTTGTGAACCCATCTTTAAAATGTTGAAGAAGGACGTTGCTACCGAATGGACTGATGATTTCCAGAAAGCATTTGACAGAATCATGGAATACCTGTCAACGTCGCCCGTCTTGGTTCCGCTCGAACCAGGTAGACCTCTATTGCTCTACCTTGCAGTATTGGATGGAGCATTCGGTTGTGTTCTGGGACAACACGATGAAACGGGGAGAAAGGAGCAAGCCATCTACTATCTCAGTAAGAAGTTCACCCCGTACGAGGCCCGGTATTCTCTATTAGAGCGCACCTGTTGTGCTCTGACTTGGGTAGCTCAGAAGTTGAGGCATTATTTTTGCGCCTATACTACTTATCTCATATCAAGGATGGATCCGCTGAAGTACATCTTTCAGAAGCCCATGCCCATGGGCAAGCTAGCCAAATGGCAAATCCTGCTGAGTGAGTTTGATATCGTCTACGTGACTCAGAAAGCAATCAAAGGACAGGCACTAGCCGATCATCTTGCCGAAAACCCCGTGGGTGGAGAATAGGAGCCTCTAAAGACGTATTTTCCCGATGAGGAGGTTTCTTTCATAGGAGAAGACCTTGCAGAATCCTATGATGGCTGGAGAATGTTCTTCGACGGAGCAGCAAACTTTAAAGGCGTTGGCACAGGAGCAGTTCTAGTATCAGAAACAGGTCAGCATTATCCGGTGTCCGCCAAACTCAGGTTCCCGTGCACCAACAACATGGCCGATTATGAAGCCTGCATCTTGGGGCTCAAGCTGGCCATTGACATGAACGGTCAGGAGTTACTAGTGATTGGGGATTCTGACTTGCTCATACATCAGGTTCGGGAAGAATGGGCAACCAAGAACTCCAAGATACTCCCATATTTGCATCACGTACAAGAATTGAGGAAGAGGTTTACAAAGACAGAATTCCGGCATGTTCCCAGAGTACAGAATGAGTTCGCCGATGCATTGGCCACTCTATCATCCATGATTCAACATCCTAATAAGAACTTCATTGATCCCATCCCAGTAAAAATCCAGGATCAACCCGCCTACTGTGCTCATGTCGAGGAAGAAACAGATGGAAAACCATGGTTTCATGACATTAAGAAGTATCTGTCAACAGGAGAGTATCCAGAACTTGCAAACACTACTCAAAAGCGCACACTGCGGAGGTTATCCAATCACTTCTTTCACAGCGGAGGAATCCTGTACAGGAGGACTCCCGATTTGGGACTGCTAAGATGTGTCGAAGCAAAGGAAGCATCCAGGTTGTTGGAAGAAGTTCATGCAGGGACCTGTGGTCCGTATATGAATGGTTTTGTCTTAGCCAAGAAAATACTCCGCGCTGGTTATTTCTGGATGACTATGGAGACAGACTGCATCCAGTATGTTCGGAAATGTCATCGTTGCCAAATCCATGCAGACATGATAAAGGTGCCTCCTAATGAGCTCAATGCAACAAGCTCACCATGGCCGTTCGCCGCTTGGGGAATGGATGTCATCGGACCTATCGAGCCTGCCGCATCAAACGGGCACAAGTTCATTCTAGTGGCAATTGATTACTTCACCAAATGGGTTGAAGCAACATCGTATAAGGCAGTGACCAAGAAGGTCGTGGCAGACTTTGTCCGCGATCGTATCATTTGCCGGTTCGGCGTCCCAGAGTCAATCATCACTGATAATGGTTCCAATCTCAACAGCGACCTGGTGAAAGCAATGTGTGAAACCTTCAGGATCAAGCACAAGAATTCTACAGCCTACAGACCTCAGATGAATGGAGCTGTAGAAGCAGCCAACAAGAACATAAAAAAGATACTAAGGAAAATGATAGAAAAACACAAGCAGTGGCATGAGAAGCTATCATTTGCTCTATTGGGATACCGTACCACCGTCCGCACATCAACTGGGGCGACTCCTTATATGTTGGTTTACGGCACCGAGGCAGTCATCCCAGCCGAAGTAGAGATTCCCTCCCTGAGAATTATGCAGGAAGCAGAACTCGAAGATGCAGAATGGGTAAAGAGTCGCTATGAGCAATTAGCCCTTATAGACGGGAAAAGACTGAATGCAGTTTGCCATGGTCAGCTTTATCAGAATAGAATGACCAAAGCCTTCAACAAGAGAGTCAGGCCAAGATAGTTCACACCGGGGCAGTTGGTGTTAAAGAAATTTTTTTCGCATCAAGATGAAGCCAAAGGGAAGTTCTCTCCTAACTGGCAGGGTCCATACATGGTTCATCGGGTTTTGACGGGAGGAGCCCTCATACTCGCAGAAATGGATGGAGAAGTCTGGCCAAAACCAATCAACTCAGATGCAGTCAAGCGCTACTATGTGTAATCTTTATGCTTTCCTACATGATGTATTTGAACTACGCCTGACCTGATTCCCGTTTAAGAGGGGATACGTAGGCAGCCCTATGGGTTCGGTCACAATTCAACAAAATCTTCATTTCCCCCGACATTAGAAACTGGGGCAGAATTTTGAGGAGGACCCTCAAAATTCCGAAGTTGAGTTTCAGCCATTCGTCTCACACAGCCGTCGGAAACACCAGCCTAGTAAACTGGGGCAGAATTTTGAGGAGGACCCTCAAAATTCCGGAGCAAGAGAGGTTGCAATGTCTTGAACCGCGTCGCAGTCATCGGTTCATCTAAAAAGAAGACTATTATTTTCAATCATGTATTTACGTTACATTATTTTACTAAATCATGCATGACTATTATCCAAATTGCTGTGTTTAGCAACGCTACCCCAATGATACACAACGTCAAGCAAGACGAGCAAAGGCCACGGGAAGACGAACTAACCTTCCCCCGTTTACGAAAACTCACAATTTTCTTGG